CCAGCATTCATTTGTGAGTGCTGGGAATGAAAACAAAAAAGTAATTGGGATCAAATATTATTTGCCTAATTCCACAGTGCCAACCTTAGCCCTAATATTATAATCATCTACTTATCAACTACGAAATGGAATTAATTTACTCCACCTAATGAGATCAGAATCAGAGAGGAATTCGTCAAGGCGAAGCCAAGAGGATTTGGCCTCGCAAGGATACTCCCAAATTTCTGAATACAAATATTTTCCCATCAGGATCGTATGGAAATTAAAGCAATTACATTTCCTTCATATGAAAAGCGGTGTGCAACAGTAATTACCTGATTAAAATTTTTGAAATTGAACTCCTTGTAGATGGCATCTCTTTCACCCAGCTCAGACCAGCCCGAAGCTTTGAGATCCGGTAAAACTTGGTTCCTCTCCTCTGTTGTCAGCCAGTGAGACTGGGAGGACTATTGAGGGGAAAAAAAGAAAGGCACGGCACGAGTGAGGCTGAGGTTCTCTGCTGCACAACAATCAGCAAACCACACGATGAAATTGTGGCTCTGCCCTGTGCACAGGTAAGGACGTGGAATATTCACTGTACAGTTTCTGACTGTTTATAATTTCACAGCCCAGTGAAAAGCAGCCAAACCCCCTCATTTTATTTTGGGCTGATAAATTTGGCTAAATGCTTTGGTACAAAACTAAGGGAAAGCAACAGGCTTTTTCCCAGGAACGAGTATGGACACCAGCACACCTCCACCCATGGTCACTTGGATTATTCAGATGCTGTAACACCCCAAATAACTTTCAAGTATTCTACTCTGTCATATAAGCAAAAGATTATTTACATTATTTGCTAAAGGTACAATTATAAGGCTAAAAGAAATATCAGGAAATATCTGTTTCAAAAGAGAGAAGCAAAACAGGAGATTGCATTCTACCCAGCTTGTGGTTTACCATTTTGAGAAAGCAGGAATGGATTTTAAGACAGCACACGCTGTGGAGTTCTATAAGGAACAAAGAGCTTATTAACTGCATGAAAAGAAAAAAAAATGACAATACAGACACAATTACAAGAAGTTTGTAGTCACTGCTATAAGCATGAGATTCTGCAAAGCACTGAGGCTTAAATGTGGTTTGTTTGAAGTGACAGGAGTCCTCCTGATGCCACTGGGAGCACAGATGTGACTGGCTAACACTTAAATATCTGGATCAGGGGCCAGAGCCTGAATCAGGTGAACGTTCAGGGGGGCCTTTGAAAGATGTTTGACACTTCTCCTAAAAGCAGAGACTAAGGACAAGATATCCTGACAGAGGGGTCTCAGACTCCCATGACAAAGGCAAGGCTTTGGTGGGAAGGACCTTTCTGCCCAGTACAGCTGAATTCAGACTGCTTTAGTCTTTACTTCAGCGGCTGGCACAGCTTTGTGAGAACCTGCAGAAAGGCAGTTTTGCTCCAGAGGTTCTCTCAGACACGGGAGGCTGGTGAGGAGCCACCATCTGCTCAGCAGCTCAGGATTTTCCACCTTTGCCAGCCGGTGCTCCAGCGGGAGCCCCGATGCCACCAGATGGGGCTGTGAGTCTGAGCAGAGCAGGAATTAATGCAATTAATGCGACCTGAGTAAGGTTGGAAAATGCAGGAGGGCCCAGGAGCAACATTTGCATCAATAACATGGGAGAAAAAAACCCCAAACAGCGTAAATCAATCTAACAGCACCACTGCTGCTGCTGGTGTTCAGCGGGATACATCCAGAGATGTAACCAAGGGGTGGGTTTTACAGGTCCCAAACTGAACTAATTTGGGCTCTCCACACTTCAAACACAACTCTGGGCTTGCAAGAACACGAATTTCAGATTTGTCATTGCTATAACCACAGTCACAGGCATGAATTTCTTACAGTCCCCTTTTTCCCAAGCGTATACAACAATCGCCAAAATTAAAGGCTGCCTTGAACTGTACTATTTTCTCTGGCACGGGATGAAGTTAGTCTGCTAATTTACAAAAAAATCATGGGGGTGGGTGGTTTTTTTTTGAGATAGCAAAGTCCAGGATTGTGACCAGGAGGCAGCACAAAGTCCACTCCTCCGGCTGGCACAGAGATGTCCTGTCAGCTTTGGGGACACCGAGGTGCCTTCCTGACACCTCACCCGACACACAGGACAGTGCTGTGACCTGAAATTTGACCACACAGTTTTAACAGGAATATGGAGATTGGGTCTGGTTCAGACGTTTTGCTTTGGAAGGGGTGGTGGAGGCCACGTCCTGATGCATCATTATATTCAGAAATGCAGCAGAAAGCAGCAGGGATTTGCTTGTAGGAGGAAGAAGAGAAGGTGGCAGATTCAAATTGCATTTCTGCAGTCACCACCCCCCAGCAGCACATCACAGGCACAGCCAGAGCCCCTAGAGAGGCAGGAACAGGCACCGGGTGTGGGTTTGACCCTGTGATGGGTTATGTTCGTTTGGAGGAAGCTCGGGGAAATGGTTCATTAATTACATAAAACAATCAGTACTAAACATCTCATGCCTGAGGACGAGGGTTGAACCCTGTGCGTGCCACTCGTTATTAGCTTTGTGTTAAACAAAATAATCAATCATGAAGTGGGACGGTGGCAGGACAAGGGGAGAATCCCAGAGTGGTCTGCGTTGGAAGGGATCTTGAAGATCACCTTGGCCACGGGCAGGGACACCTTCCACTATCCCAGGTTGCTCCAAGCCCCGTCCAGCCTGGCCTGGGACACTTCCAGGGATGGGGCAGCCACAGCTTCTCTGGGCAACCTGTGCCAGGGCCTGCCCACACCAGCAGGGCAGGATTTCTCCCCAGTGTCCCACCTAAGCCCGCCCCGTGTGAGTTTCAAGCGCTTCCCCCTCGTCGTGTCCCCGTAAGGGGACCCTCCCCGCTCAGGAACCGAACGGTGCCCACGAGCTGTCCCCGCAGCCCCCCGCGCTCCTGGCACCGCCACCGCCACCCCGGCACCGCCACCCCGGCACCGCCACCCCGGCACCGCCACCCCGGCTCCCGCAATTCCCGCCGTGCCCTGCCGGGGCTGCCCCGATCCCGGTCCCGTCCCCTGCCCTCCCCGTGTCCCCTCACCATGGCCGCGGGGGTCCCTCCCGCCGCCCGCCGCGCTCCCAGCAGCGCCCGCCTCAGCCCGGCCCCGGCCCCCGGCATGGCCCCGGCCCCGCCTCCGCCGGCACCGCCCCGGAACCGGCCACGGCAGCCGGCAGGGACCGGGGAGCTCTCGCCGAGGCTCCCGCTTGGACGAGGGGAGGATGCTCTGGGGGAAGGACCCCATCGCTCTGCACGGCTCCCTGCCGGGAGGGTGCGGGCAGTGGGACGGGGCTGTGCTGCAGTGCGAGCAACAGAGGAACGGCCTTGAGCTGAGACGGGGAGGATCAGATTAAATATCGGAAAATTTTCCCCCGTTGGAGTGGTCAGATGTTGAAGGGGCGGCCCAGGGAGGAGGTGGGGTCACCATCCCCTGGAGGTGTTTGAGATGCGGAGCTGGGCGATGCGGTTCAGTGGTTTAGGGCTGACAGCTGGACCGGAGGATCTAAAGATCTCTTCCACCCTCAATGATTCCATTATTCCACGACACCTACCCGGGAGGAGAACGGGGATGCATCCGTGGGTGGATCCTGTTGTGCTGCGAGCTGCCAGGTTTCATTTCCATCCTATGGGGGCTGCACTGAAACAGCCCTGTTCTGTTTGTAAACACATCCCTGTTCCTTTAGGGGTGTGGAGATGAGCACCAGGCACAATCCAGCCTTGGGCCTCTCAAACGAACTGGATGGCAGAGGCAAGAACACTCCTTCAGAATCTTGGATCTTTATTAATAACATCCATCCTAATCTTCAGTCATACCAAAGTTGTACCAGTGCAGTTTCCTTTTTGGACACGGAAATACAGGACCTCTGGTTTCCAAAGGACAAGACAGAGCGAGCAGAGAAATACTTGAAGAATTAGGTTGCAGAGATACAAGCTCTTTGTCAAGTTTTGCCTTAGCTTAATTTGTTAGCTTAATTTGCTCTCTGAATCTTCCAGTCAGGGCACTCTGGCAAGCCTCCACCACGATAAATGCTATGCAATCAAAGAATCCAAACCCCACACAACATACCAGTCCATACCTTGTCCAAAGTCTTCCATACTAATTAGAACTAAAAAAGTATCAATTCTTTACATAGCCTCAGCTGGAGACTGTGGAACCAGCAAACACGGTTGTAGAAATTTAAATAAATATCAGGACTGGTCTTGCTAATTTAGGCAGGAGCCACAGTTCAGAAATCGCATGTTTTAAGTCCTATAAGAAAGGGACTTAAAAGGTTACACTAAAAACCTCATTTTTTTTTTTTTTAAAAAGGTCGATTAATACAATTTCATTCTCCAGGAATGTGGTAAATAAGCTGTATATCCACACACAAAAATAGTGAGGTGAGCTTGGGGAGTTATTCTAAATCTCATAAAGAACTGCCACTAAGTCAGAACTCAGGGCAGAGTGAAGGAGAAAACCAGCACCACCTCAGTGCCACAGGAGGGGACAATCAGGCACGGGAACGAAACAGCTTTGGAACTGTTATTGCTGGCAGACAACGGAACAGCTCACCTGAAGTACACTGTCTTTTAAAACATCACTGAAAACATCTTCATGGTTCATTTTACTGGCAGTTAAACTGATTTATCAGCATCTTCCTTCACCAGTGTTCTCCCTGCAGTGCCATGCACAGACCAGTGAGCTCTAAAAATCTTCCTTGATCTGCAAGGGAGAGCTTGTAGATGAGGGAGCTCTTCAGAAGAGCAAAGTAGAACTGTATCACTGATTACACTGGAGCCCACGAGAAAGAGGCCAATCAGAGCAGCTTAATAAATACTTTAGTTCATGTTTTTTCGTATCTGTTTTCTTACCACCACAGTCGTCACGAATGCGCTTTTTACAGATCCAGTAGTTGATAAATAAAGCTGATTTTTAGTCGTCATTATAAATTACAACCAACAAATTCAACAGTTCATTCTGAGGTACCACCAAGCGGGATTTTTTTCTGTCCCTGTTTCAGCATCTGATGTTATTCCTGGTGTTCGTGCTCTTGTCCCGGGATGAGCCACCGGATGCTCTCGGTCCGAAGGGTGGCGTAGAGGACAAAGCTGGCCAGGAAGAGCACGGAGAACAGGAGCAGCCAGTCTATGCCCTTGGTCAGGACGCTGGGCAGGGGCCCTTCCCAGTCCTCCTTCGTCACAGCCACGTCACTTTTGGCTTCTATCCCTAAAAAACAAAGCACCTGATCAACGTCACAATCCTCAAATGCAGAGAAGCCCGTTCTACCTGGAGCTTTGTTTCTGTTCTCACACTAAGGCTCACGCACAGGTAGATTTAAAATTTTGGTGAGATGGCCCTTGTGTGTTAACATATGGCCAGCACAGGATTTACTTACATAAAAACACTGATTCTTATGTGTATATTCATAACAGGACAAGGCTCGCTCTGTGCTCCCACAGCACAGCCTTGGGTAAGTTTGTAGGGATTTTTCACTGCGCGAAAATTTAATTTGTAGTGTTTTTTTTCAGGAATCTCATTTTTGTGCATTTCTGGAAATGCAGATCCACAAAGCAGTTCAAGAAGAGAGCCAGCTGGCTGGCAAAGAAAATTAAATCTATTTCACTCTCAATTAAACCTTTGGGCAAGAAGACGTGCTCCATCCTTCCGGCCCCCCCTCTAGCTAAACGCCACTGTTCCCCTGCTCTGTGAAAGCAGCCCAAGGAATTGATTTTCTGCTCTCAGCACACACTAAAATCCAGCTCATGGTAGCAACTGATTATATAAACCTCTGCTGAGTCCTCTCAGGGACTTCATGAAGTTCATTTTAAGGAACAAACACAGGGAGAGGAAATTTTGGAGTTAAAAGCCAGCCTGTTCTCCCCACTGACACATCAGGGCTGATTTACACACCTGTTTGGTTAAAGATGAAGTCTTTCAGGGTTTCCAGCGTTCTGTCTGTATGATTAAATCTAGCCATAGGTTTAGCACCTTGGAAAAGGAGGATATTTGGGACAGCCACAGTTCCAAATCTAGTTGATAAACTGGTGGACATAAGGCAAACACAAAGTATGAAGGAAATGAAATCTATTGGAGGAAGAAATAAAGACGGTCATGTTACAGGAACTTTCAGCCTCACGAAATTAAACTGTCGCAATATATGGAAAAAAGAGCACTGCTGGTTTTAAAACTCAAAGCTAACAGAACTAAACTGTTGCTGGAGCACAGGGAGCGAGAGTTACCTGCTGTGCTGGGATGCATCCAGTGCCAGGAAGCGAAGGGTTGGAAATGCTCGGGGTAAGGAGTTAAAATGAGGCGCCAGGCTGGCAGAAAAGCGGCACCACGGAGTGTAGAACAGGACCAACGTACAGTCACTGCTGTTTGGGTTTAGGAACTCCATCAGGTCCTTGGAGGAAGAACAAGAAGAACAAGCATGGGCAAGTACATATTTCACAGAGTTAAATTCTACATAGGGATGTACCTATGTACAGTCAATCAGATACTGGGCAATATTATCAAGTTAACTGCACCTTTGCTTAATCTTTCTACAACAGGGAGAGAATTGCATTTAACTGCTTTTAAAGGTTGATTCAAAAGTTAATAATTTAAAAATATACATGTGCATGGCCGTTCAAAGAAACAAGCTGGCAGTAGGTGCCATTAACGATTTCAGAGAGAAGCAGCAGCGCACAGAGCAGCAGAGCTGGCAGTTCCCTGCAGGCACAGAGATGACAGGCACAGGCACATGGAGTGCTCTGTATTTCCATTTTTTTTTTGCGATCAGAACGCCCTGAAACGCCTCTTTGTTCAGACATATCTTCTCTTCGGTCGCACAGAGGGCGTTACACAAGAATATTCACAAAGCGCAGCACTGAGAGCACCACGCCGACACCTTCCCCCCCCTCCGGCGTTCACCCCAGCCCCGGGTACCTGCGACACGTTCAGGATCTGCAGCGTGAAGCGCTCGATGCCCGTGGTGTTCCTCTCCTCGCAGCTCACCTTGGGGGCCTTGGCGCTGTCGGTGCCGTTCTGCTCCTCGGGCAGGACGGGCTCCAGCACGGGCTGCTCTCGGGGCGGGCCCGGGGGGGCTGCGGGGCCGCTCCCCGTAGGGCCGCACGCCCCGGCCCCGGTCCCCGCTTCGCAGGGGCCGCCGCTCGGCTCGGCCGGCACCGCCGAGAGCAGCCCGGGCGGCTCGGCCGTGCCCAGCATCGCGTCCGCCATCTCGGCCGTGCGGTACCGCACGGGCTCGGGGCCGCCCGCGCCGCGCTCCGCCGGCCCTGCGGCACCGGGCAGGGGGAAAGGACCGTCAGAGCCCCGCTCCTCTCGCCCCGGCACCGGGCATGGGGGAAAGGACCGTCAGTGCCCCGCTCCTCCCGCCCCGGCACCGGCCCCGCGCACCCAGAGCCCCCCGGCCTCACCTGCGGGGAGGGCCCCACCGAGCCAGGACAGCGCCAGCAGCGCCAGCCGCCACATCCTCGCCCTCAGCCCACCCTCGGGCCCGGCAGCCGCGTCTCCCCGGACAACGATCGCTTCCGCCGGATCCCCGGGACACGCTTCCAGTTCCGCCGAGGGATCCCCGGGACGCACTTCCAGTTCCGCCGCTCCTCGTGTTTCCGTGGGAAGGGCCCGCGGGGCGGGCAGGGCCGGGCCGGGCCGTGCGGGACTGCGGTGGGGGTTCGGCCCGGCCCGGCCCTGCCCGCCCTGGACACGAATCGTGAGGATTTAACCGGGTTTTGTGGCGGCCCCGCTGAACCCCGAGCTGGGATTGTTCAGCCTGGAAAAGACAAGCCTTCGGGGTGACCTCATTGCGGCCCCTGCCAGGACCTGAGGGGAGCTTAGAGGGGCAGGACAGGACAAGGGGGTGTGGGTTCAGATTGAAAGAGCAGGTTTCGATTGGATATTAGGAGAAAAAAAATTCTTTGCTAAAAATCTTTTAGGAAAAAATTTTTCCCTGTGAGGCTGCCCCATTCCCCGTAGTCTTTGTGATTTTTTAACTGTGAATTTCATCCTAACATAATACCCTTCCTGCCATACATAACACAAATCAAAATGGTAGTTTTTTTATGGTGACTCTACCAGTGGAACACAACTGGACTCCTCAGAATCACAACAAACATCGTGTGCCAGTGCTTAGGCATTACAGAGAAGGCACATTTAACGTGCCTGCCAGTTTTGCTGCAACAGTCTTTTCAGTGGCTTGCATTTTTCTGATTTTTAATGCCAAATGTCTGTTTTCAGGAAAAAGCCTATCAAAAAAAATACACTGCTTCGCATCTATTCAAAAATCTTGGCCACATTACAAAAGCTGCTTGCTAGGGAAGGAGCTGAAATTTAGCAAACAGGAAGATGTGCAAAACATGAGTCTTTCTGCCCCCATCGAAACTTGGTGGGTGTTTGTGCATCTGAGGCTTGTGCAGCTGCTCAGTAACATCAGGTACCGAACATAAAAATGCCAGTCCAGCCCCAGAACAAGCCCTGCTGTCTTGCCATACACAAATCTGAAATTAGGACAGAACCATCTCAAAGGCTCTCTGAAGATGTCCAGCTTGTGTAGCTGATACCCTGACACTGCCACTGTCAGCATGCATAAATCATAAACTGTCATCAGAAACCACACCAGGTGTGCATCGAGGAACTGCCTGCCCTGCCCCTTCCATCCTTCCCTGCAGGGCAGGGAACGCAGCAGCCATGGCAGCAATCAAGCTGAAAAGCCTGTATTCTTCTGTGATATTTGTGTGATTTAATAGCTAATGCTTAAGGCTTCCTTACAACCGAGAAAATAATCCATTCTGCTCAAGAATCCCATCCAGGAACTGATTTTTACACCAGGATGTAGCAGACTGAAGCTCAACTCTGTTCTGAACATATCCAGTCACCTTGAAAGCCAAATATTTAGTATTACCACAATCATCAACAAAAAACCCCAACCAAAACAAAACCCACACACAAACAAACAAGGCATCCAATGTCCTTTCCAGGTAAAAGCAAAAAGTCTGCAAAAGAACTGCAACTGCCATTTGGAATGTCCCAAACTCACATGTATCCAAGGCCTTTGAAAGTTCCCGGAAGAGGAAAAGGGTGCTGGAAAACGAGGGGAGGATGCAGGCCTGGGAGTCTGGATTGCAGCTTCTGGTAGGCAAGGACTGTCTGTCTGCCCAAAAATCATTAAGAAACTTCAGTGAAGAGAAAATAAATTAAAAAAAATTAAAAAGAGGCATTGAGTGGTGGTATGCAGAGGACATCTTACCAGCACAGATAAATGGGAATATTGTTGCAGTACGGGGATAAGGACATTTTATTCATGACAGAATAATGAGTAATGATCACCATTCCATGAAAAGTTTAGTACTTTCAAAGTGATGTCCATGTGCAACAAAGTTAAAAAAAAAAGCAGTTTCCTATTTACCCATATATGGTTATAACTCCTTCCCCCCCCCCTTCCATTTGAGAGAAAGGACAAGAACAATTAAGTTACTGTTGCAGTGTTTTCAATTCCTTAAAAAATGAGCAACATTTCCTGACATCTTGCCACCCACGGAGGCTTTTTGCCTTTATGCAAATATATGTAACTTGCCTGTAACAAGCAGGTAAGAGTCAACAGGGATCTTCAGCCAGAATTTAGAAGGTATTAAAAAGAAAAACCAAAAAAACAGGGACAAAAATGGTTAGGTTTTAAAGTATTAACTTTATTAATAAATATACATCCATATGATGATGTAAATACAGATCATGAACACTACTCCATTCCCATACACATAATTGCACACGAGTAGCTCAAGTTCATGGACATAAAAACATACACAGTATCTAATCAGGCTTTTTACAGCAGAGGACAGGGTGCTGATACTAGTTAATGAACAGATTATTGTTTCCCCCAAAGTAAACCTTGTGGAAAAGAAAATGATGAAAGATTAAAAGTATCAGAAAAGTGGTTCAAATTTTAGAATACAGATTTTTCTATTTGGGGAAAAAAAATCACAAGGAGAGGGGTCTAATCTCTACTAAAGTCATAAATATATTTAAGCAGTGTTAAAATATATGCATTAAAATAGAGAAGAATAAACTTCTTTTGTGGTCAGAAATGAAGTCTGCAGTTCCAAGTGTTTATGATTGTTATCAGCTGCTTTAACTGTCAACTCTAAGGATAGTGTGAAACATTATTATACATATAACAAAGAACAGCAGAGCCACAGCCAATGAAACCATCACACAAATGACTTCACATTGCTCTGCCTTTTAAAGCTCTTCAAAAATGGGGGAGGGAGTTTTAAATTCTCATCTGAATTACTCTGTGTTTTGTAGTTCCAGGTAATTCTTTTCACAGACACATCACTCGTCACTGACAACGCTTGGTCTTGTCCTGACTGAACTCTTAAGATCCTTCAGACAAAATGAAAATATATTCATTCAGAAGAGAGATCTTTAATGGCTCTAGTTATTTCAATTAGTTCAAATAAATCCAAGATATAAAGAACATTGCTTCAATGACAAAGCTAAGTGCTGATTTCAAAAATACTATCTTTGATATCAAAGTCAGCTGCTTCTGATGGTGTCTGACTTGTTTCTGCCAAAATATGGTGCTAGCATCTTGAATCTGTCCAGTGCAAGACTTTATAGTAGCAAAATTATTTGGTTTTAAAGTTTAAGTAAATTTAATCAAAGATGAATAGTAGTTACTATATGTATATTAAACAGTGAACTTGTATAGCATCATTAAGGAATAATAGCAAGCTAGTACATTTCATTTATGTATAAATAAGACGTTAGAAACTTGATAATTAAAAGAAATTATTAAAACCCAAACTTGACATGTCGGTCTTCTGAACAGTGTTAACACACCACAGTGATCCTAGCTTATGAATAGCTGAATTATGATATAGAATATAAAATAAGCAATTTTACCTTACAAGTAATGTTTTCATACTATGGGGGGAAAAGGCCAGTTTTCCCATTGGTACTAATAAAGTTGAGGCATTAACATGCTGTTTTCAGTGTTTCTCATGGAAAGAAAAGTGTTGAAAAAAGCACAATGTATTCTGCAGAGTATACACAGGAAGAGCAGGAGTATTTAAAAATTCCATTTCGAGTCTCTTTGAATCTCTTACCCTCTTTTTCCTTCCCCCTCGCTGCAGGGCACCAGTAAACTGCAGTCAGCTATAAACCAGAGCAGAATTAGGGAGTGCCCAGCACTGCACTTGGTCTCCTTCCTAAATCTGGAGTGCCAAGCAGCCCATTACAGACTCTGAACGCTTTTCTACTTGATGCTCATCATTTCACAACCGACAACATTAATTAGTTTTTACTGGGATTATATTCCATCTGATATAATTAATAAACACTGTAATGAACAGAAATTGCTTAGGTGATTTCATTATTTCATCAGCATACTTGAATACAAATTATACTAGCAGAACAGCAATACATCTGCATTATCTCCTGACACACAGCACAGCACCAGTGAGTGGATGCACAAGTGAGGAACGGAGCAGGAGCCAACAGGATAAACAGGAGGAGGTAAGGAGTGGAGTTTCTCCAAGGGACAGTGGTGACATGCAACACGTTCCTTGCCAGCGAGGTGTGACACTCCTGCAGTGATACATTCAGCTGAAGAGGACTGCTTGCCCAGCTGAGTTCAGGAAAGAACTTTTTAAAGCAGTCTTTAGTTGAAAAATCATCTGATTAAAAACAGCCACCACCACAGCACAGATCCTGAGGGTGAATGAACTCACGTGAGCATTTGCACGTGTCAGAAGTGACATCGTTCTGAGAGGGGCTGCTAAAGGTCAGACCGGAGAGTTTGCTGAGGAACAGAACGTACAACTGGATTTCAGAGCTTCAGCATGAAGAAACTATTCCTTAGGAGCAGTTTAGCTGCCATTAGTTCATCTATCGACTAAGGAGCCATCCAGTATAAGTTGAGGTTCATTGTCTTAGTTGCCAGTGCATACACAGTGCCCCCAAAACCATTCAACACACCTATTGTAAAGTACAGCAAAAGTCCAGCTCAATATGTGTTAGGCATCACTGGAACACCTGAAGGCTTGCTGCTTTTTTCCTGATAAAAAAGGTATGAAACATGACATCCGTTTCTTAAATTGTCAGCACTGAAATCAAGAGGTCTCATCAAAACGACAGCAGGCCAGAATAGCATTTATGTCAACAAAAATTATCAGCATCATTACCCATTCAGCACAAGCTCAATTAACCCAAATTTTTATGCTCCCCCAGACCTGCAAACTCCCCCCTCCCCAGATATTTCAAGCTACAAATTTATCACAAAGTCATTTTATATGTGAAATGACTAAAATGTAAACTTTCTTCCAGATTAAAAATAAGCTTTAATTTCAGTCAAATAAATTTAGGACCAAGAATATGCAACATTGAGGACTGATTTTTTTGAAGTCTAGATGAAAGTATTTTACACATTCACGCACTCTCTCACACTTGAAAAAAAAAAAAAAACCAAAAACACACCCAGTTGAAAAATGGAGCATTTCTTTTGGGAGGAGGGAAGGTTTTAGTTTGAGTCAAGAAAGGTATTTATAGTTAACCAACAACATTTTTTTTTTCCAGCCTGCATGCATAGATGAATTACTCTGCATCTGGGGTGTAGCAGTGCAGTAAACTGCATCCTGTTTGCATCAGCTATACAGTTTGCCTTTATAAATCATGAAAATGGTGTCCTTTGGTAGATATATAAGCTTCCATAACTTAAATATAGTATAAGTGTCAAACAACGAAATTACTGTATTCCCAGGAATATCTGGCAAAATTGAGCCTAAAAATTTGGCAACAGTGTGTATTTAAAAAGTTTAATCTGTAAACATTATAGGTTAACACTTTAAAAGCTATTAAACTGTCGCCATCTAAGCAGAGGATTTAAAGGCCAAAGCCAGCGTAAATAGCTATTTACAGATTTAAGAACTTACTGCTTAATATTAACCAAGTGCCTAACTGGAATGAACAGTACTTAATTTCGTATAAAATATTTCAAATCTCAAAGAATTATTCATGGTTTGGTATATGTACTATTAGGCATTTCACAATTACACAGCAGAAACAGCGTAGCTAAGAGAACAGCTCTCACCCAACGGCAAATTCACTTGTCTTAGTAAGGCTGTGAAGCTGTAACAAACTGTACAAATGCTCAGGTCTCTCTAGTATCTTCAAAAGTATTTTTGGAGTACTAGTTGTAATTCACTTAATGCTACGACTCCCGAAACAAAAGCCACCTGAAATCATCTTCAAAAGAAAAGGCTGGGGATTTTTTTTTATTTAAGTTTTTAAGTATCTATTTGAGGTCTGAAGAGGCTCCAGCAGAAGTGGAAAATGTAGCTCGCTGCTTTTTTGATCAGTTTTTCTTATCAAGTAAGAACTTAACTGCCTAAGTTGCTTATTTTGGGACAGGTCACATCATGATCCATCAGCCAGCTAATTCTGTCCTCCTTATTTCAAATACTTAATGCATCACCACATCTAGGTTTGTGAGAAACTGGATGTAAAATTAGGGACGTGGACGTTACCTAAGTATCGACACCAAGGCGTAATTCATCACTTCAGACTTCCTTATCAATTATGATTTAAGCCCAACAAAAGCACCTTTAAACCAAAGCCTTTTCAACGTGACTGTAAATGTTATGAACTGCACCCGTAGGCTCTGGCATTATCTGAATAGAAATAAAATCTAGAAACCCAGACTGAGACAAACATTACAACAGAACGCAAGAACCATGCCCAAAATCAGCGTAAAGCAGATTAGCAGGGAGTTCCTAATTCCCTCCTCTCATTCATTAGGCTGTTTGATTTTGCCACTAGTTTCACCAGCAGCATGTACTCCTCTGCTATGCACCATAGGGTAAGGAAAAGCTGCACTGCCACAAGTATAATTTAGATTTGCAAGCCGTGAGAGAGCTTTAATGCTACCTGGAGGTCTGCCTGGGCTGACTTTGTATCCTGCTGCTTTAGTTGTACCCAAGGGTCTGCCTGGACTTGTCTTAAATCCAGCTGCTTTGGTGGTCCCCAGGGGTCGGCCTGTGCTGGTCCGGTACCCTGCTGATTTGGTGGTCCCTGAGGGCCTCCCACGTTTGCCGGAGCGGTTGAGGTTTTTCTTTTTCTTCAGTTCATCTTTTGTCTCTAAACTCCTGCCACTCGTGGTCTGCAAGTGCGACTCGCCCAAGGCGTCGGGTCTCTGGCAGGCGATGGGTTTGTGGGCGACCGCGTGGCCGTACTTGCTCTGCTGGCTGGCGTAAAGGTCGAACTGATCCGCGGCTCTCACATTGTCCTCGCTCAGGCAAGAGCTCTTGCCGGTCCCACAGAAAGCTGGATTACCGCTGGCAACAGGGTGCATCATTTTCTACCAAAAATAAAGAGAGAAAAACATGTTTCAGTATAATATTTTTTATTATTGTCATAGTCAGCGTTCCACAAGCGAGAATCTTTCGAAAGCTTCCCCTGTTTCTCAAAATGAGTCCGAACTACTTGGTCTATTTTTAGTATTGATGTCAGTAAATTACTTTTTAAAATGAGTTTTATTAAGCTTTCGCTTGAAGTTTTGCACAGTAACCCTTACACATGGTTAAAAAGGACAGTTTAAACCACGTATTATTCAGATAGGTATAATCAGGGAAGAAGTAAGGGAAAAAAAACCCAACAAGAGCATTTCAGCACTAAGATACACAGTATTGGCTCACCCACCGCGATTTCAAAACCTTTCCAACCAAAGCTCATCTAAATTTCAGTTGTTCTAGTTCTAAGATTAACCTGTGACTCAGCCAAGGAGAGATAAGGTATCAGTCTCTTGTTTTACTAAATATAGGGGCCTAAAGATTTTTTGGTTTGTTTAACTGAGGCAAAATAATAAAGTGCTAATCAGTTTTGTCATCTCGTGTCACAATCCGTGTCAGAGAAAGAAAACAGGTAAGGTTTTCAGCAAGGCAGTGGTGCCACAGTTGGGAGAGCAGAGGGATGAAATCAATCCCTAACGAAGCCGAAGGTGCTGGGTTGCAAAAATGCCACTGCTGTCCTAGTTAGGAGAGCACTTTCAAAGGGCTGGTAATGCCAACACCGAGGGAACAACTCTGGGAAAGAAAATTATATTTTCACCCATTCAGCTATCTTGGTTCTACAGCTTAAATAGGCTGTAAATACTCAGCTTAAGATAGCAGTATTTAGCCATGCTGAAGACAAGATCATGCCAATAAATATCTGGCCCATCACAGTATTTCTGTGCCCTACAGCCACACTCAGGACACCAAATACTCCTTCCCATGGTAAATTTCTCTAGTAGACAGTCTGGATGATTTATTATATTTTCCCCGCAATAGCCCTGGAATATCACCTACAACAACACCATTTACACTCTACTATTGATTACTGAATTTCTTTGGCAGTTATGAATGTCTCCTCCCAGCCAGAGAGAAAGCACACAGCAGAGACAGCTTATTTACCCTGGAGTAAATCCCCGTGCTCTTTCCTCCTGATTACAAAGGATACATTCCCTGCTGGAACAGTCAATCTACCCTGGCTTGTCAAATGCATGTTACAGTGCACATTACTCCTGTGTAAATATATATGTCAAAGAGTGAAATTATGACAATAATATAGTTAAATATTAGATGTTCTAGCAGAGATGATCCAAGTGTTACAATGCTGGGGTGTTGCACGGGGTACAGCAGAGCAAAAGTGAAAGCACCGTTACTGCAGGTGTTAACTAGCAAACAAACAACTAAGAATAAGTTGCAAGCCTGTGCTCAGCAGAGGACAAAGGAAGTAAGCTCAGGCCAAGAGACCAGAGAGACTTTTCCATGCAGCAATAAAAAGGTTAAGGTTTTCCGCAATTAGCAGTCCAAAAAATGTTGTGTTTCCTTAACCCCACTAGAAAAGGGCCTGCAATATCACAAACAAATACCTGAGATTTTTCATGCTATGTAATTGCAAACATGAGGGTTCTAATAAAGTCCTTTTGCTGAGGAGACAGTGAAGCCCAGCGGCCCTGAAAGGCTGTTCAGCTGTTTGTTGGTACTCCAGAGACACTCGGAGTGGTGGAGCAGCATTCTTGTCTCAGGACTCATTTTGAACACAGGAATACTGGCTTTGGCCCCAAAAAGCTGCTCCAAGCTCGACTGCCACAAAGAAGCATCAGTTCAGCTGCCCAGTATCCAAGGAACACACCAGAGCTGGGAGAAGGCACTGAATGGAGCAGAGGCCCCTGCTATTTCCCATGAGACCAACCCCTGCTTGGACTCGTTCCTGTCTGTGTTGCGTTCTTACTCTCTGCTTTTTCTCCTCCTTACACTCAGGGCTGTGGGGGGGATTTTTCCAACAGATAGCATCAATCTTTCCAGGGGAGAACCATCACAGGTACTCCAAGACAATGAATACATTCTGCTGCAGCTGCCAAACAAAACAAGCATGTGTTTTGTGTCTGCTGTAACACCATTGAGAGCTCTCAGTGAACTCCAACTTCACACACAAGACCTGGCTGGTGCTGCTTTACCTTCCATCTGGCAACAACCAGTATCCCTGGAATGGATGAGTGAAGAAAGATGTACCAATCAGTAACTGTTTAAAACTTCTAACAAGAGGAAGCTTAAACAAACCCAAATCTCAGTGAAAAGCTGCCAATGGGATTTTTTTTTTTAATGCTTTCCCCCCTCCCCACACCGTTTCTCATCAAACCATGAAAATTTCAAGTAGTAGCCAAGGTTTCTATTCTGTGTTTTTTGATTTAAGACTTTTTTTTTTTTTGAGAGGTTTTGAAAAGGAAATCTGTAATCGAGCTTAATTACCCTACCATGGCCATCTCCAGCACAGCTTTACTTCATTCACATTACAGCAGGGAATAAAAGAATGTAGTGAGTCTATCTGTAGAGTGGAAGCAGGTTTCTTGGCAGGGAGAAATACAGTATAAAGGAGAATTGGTATAAAATGCAAAGTTATGCCAATTTAAAAATCACACTCCAGCTAAATTGTATAGCCAAACACACACAACTTTGTGTGCAAGCATTCTTGAATAAAACCCACCAGAAAAGTTTCCAGCAAAATAGAATTTGCTTGTTTTAGAACCTGTAAATAGACACATAAAAATATTTGCAACAGTTTACTTAAATCAGTTTTTAAACTGATTCAGCTGACTGGCTGAATAAACAAATAGTTAAGATGAGGCACTGCAGGAAGGAAATTCAGTCGTATTTCAAAATGAATCTCACTGGAAAGTGACTGTAGAGCATTTTGTGCATGGATCTTTTTCTGTCTGGTAATTTATATCTACAGAAATGCTAGGAAAGGGAGGAGGCACTGGATAAGCTGCCTTTGGGAAAAGAGAGGCAGCACTAGGGCTTCCCATGCAACAAAGCATAGAGGCTCCACCACTGCTGGAAAGAAAGGGGACCATCCAGCTGGGACTCAAAGCTTTGCTGCAGGGGGATGTCTGGACATGGCAGAGACCCCTCCCTGTACCCTAAATGCAGGTTGATGTACCATCCAGCTCTAGTTTACAGCTGCTAAGGCTCCCAGGACTGATATGGCCCATAGCTCTCCAGGCTTGAAACCCTGCAGAAAATCCCCACTCGTGGCTTGTTCACTACACCAAATTTGAAGATCAAAGCAGCTACTCAAATGACCTTACATCAAATCACATTACACAGCCCTCTCGGGTTGTGACGTGATGCTGTCTTTGGCTTTCAAACATCAAGCCCTTTGTGTTCTTCGTGGGCAGAATTCAGCTGCCAGCACAGACAAGGTGAAACCTTTGATGAGCAGAGAAGCTCTCGAGCCCCCCAGAACAGGCCCTTGCTGAGTAGCTGTTTTATACTGAGCACTGGGACCTGTGACCCATTATCTGCTCTGAGCAGAATAATCAGTTCCAACACAAGCAGCACAACTGCTCTGCTCTCACCCAGCCCAGCCTGTGCTCTGTGGCCTGGTGAGCTCCAGAACAGACCTGACTCAGCAAGCGCTTCTGACCTCGGATAAAACACACAAAAGTCAGAGCAAAACGGAACAGAACTGGAAGGACATCTATATTAGAGCTTTCCAAATGATGAACACCAGGAAAGGTAAATTCCTCTTGCCAGCAGGACAGTTTTGCTTGTCATGTATTTTTCCGAGGTTTCCAGCGCTGAGCTTGCAATGGTTTCAGCAGGGTCGGTGGAGTTGGAGGAGACTGCAGCAGCACATTTTCATCACCATCCAACACACACAAAGTCCGTGACAGCTACAGAAGGACACGAGCAGCTACAAGTATCATTTGTGGCCAGCTCCCTGCAGGCCTGGAGCGAGCACAGGCCGGGCTCTGTTCGGGATGTCGATAAAGGGCTCTCTGTGCCACGTTCCTCGGCACAGGCCCTGGGGAGCTGCAAAGGGCTCCACTGCTTGCCAGGGGGGTTTGAGCAGCAGCAGCAGCAGGAATATTATCCCTTTCAAGACTGCAACAGAGATAAGGTATCAGTTCTGTTCTTCCCTCGTAGGGACAGCATGGGGGAGAAATCCTTTCATTACTCACTGAAAAGAATGAATTCTATCAGTTTAAATGTTTTTTAAATGTCCTTTTATTGTCAGGTCCTTTTTTTTACATGATAACTCAAGTGGGCCTTACCCAATTTTTAAAATCCTGTAACTGCTTGCTTTCACAAAGTTGCACCTTACTCTGAGTATTCCTATAAATATTTTTAAACTTTTAAGTATGAAATTCTATCAGTGGCACAACACACTGTAACACCTGAACCTACAACTGAAATCTAATCTATTCATGAAGCTCGATAACCAGTTTCTCCACACTGTGCTTATGAAGCCCTTTCTGAAGTTGGTGCAAAATATGATTTTTCTCACCTGCAAGCTACCTGCAAGGCTGAGTGTCAACTAAACTCAACTTTTAGGGTTCATTCATGATTTGACTGCAAAACCAGGCAAACAAGTAATCGTTAGGATTTCTAACCCTAAAAACCAAATAAGCCATATCCAAGGGCAGAGTTTCACTCGATGCAAACATCAGCAAGGACGTCAGCTGACTTCTTCCCACCCCAAAACTAAGATCATACATGATGATGAGGAACAGGACACTTAAAAGGGTTAAGACAGCTTCACAAAAATTAAGGAAGATGGTATCAATGATTTAATTACCTGTGCACCTCCAGTTACACTGACACAACTGAGAGCTTGGTTTCATAATCAATAGAAACCACTCTGAACCCACACTTTCTGAACGGGACAATCTTGCCCTTTCCTCTTCCCCCACGTTCCCATTCCTTGAGCCAACACTAACAATTGTGCAAGAGCAGGGCAAATCAACACCAGGGATCTCATCCAGGTGAAAACTAATCCAACAAGAAAGCAAAAGCAACAGTTTGTGGGAAAGAAACGAACAGAAATGCACATTTCCATTAGCACAGAGACAGACTGAGGTCCCAGCTCAGCCTGGGTAACCACGTTACCCACTGGTTGCCACCGACCCCTTCCCTGGTCCCTGTTTCGCCAAAAAAAAACCCAACCAGGCCTTAAAACCATGGTCTTAATGGAGTTGGAAGTCCTGGATGGCAGCACAGGGAATGAGGGCTGGGGAAAAACCCCCACAGCTGGGGATGGAGCAGCACAGCCACCAGGCCAGACAGACTGGCTGTGGAGAGCAGAGCGAAACTGCACTCTGATTATTCTGTGGTTCTCTAATTACCAAACTTCAAGGCAAACCAAATATGCGTATGAATGATGGAGCAGGTAGAGGTGGATCTTCATAAAGGAAGGATTATTAGTATTTGTGAATTGTCCATTCCCCTCAAGGAGCTATTCCCAAGTAAAGTGGAGCAGCCCTTGCCACAGCCTAGAACAAGGGCTTTGAGCTGGAGGTGCTTATTCATCTCCGTGGGTGTTCTCGCCCACCCGCTCCTCTCCCCGGGGAACAGACCTTGCTGCAGCCTAGAACAATAGCTCCGAGAGGTAAGAGGTGCTCATTCATCTCAGTGGGTGTTCTCACCTACCCTCTCCTCTTTCCCCAGCCTGCTCCCACCAAGGGGTTCAGAAGCTTAAGAGATGGATCGAGCTTCTCCTTCCTTTTTCACGGTGTTTCTCTGTGACAGGACTGGTACAAAACGCTCTGGACGCTGGTGCACACCCCCCAAGAGTGCAAAGGGCTCTGGACACCTGCCCACACACTCACAAACACAGCCAGAGCAGCACGCTTTTGTGACACTGCAGAAAGGCAAAATCCACTTGTTGCATCTGTTCAACAGTGGTCAGAGGGCAAACACGCACGACTTGTTTTGTTTAAGGTTGCATCTAAAACCTGAAGGATACAGATACAGACAGAACGTGCACACACACACACACACAAAGTTGTAAGAGAAACTGTGGCACCTGAACATTGAAACAGAAATAAACAATAATTTAATAAATATATTAACTGAGTGCTCCTCCTACTCTTTCATTTCACAAAAATAAAACCCACATGGATCAAAATAACTGTTACTTTCTTTAGAGAGATATCCAGAGAGAACTACACGCAAATTAAAGGTGCAACTACTCACAAAATTAATTGCCCCAGAAGGACTGCACACAAACAAGGATGAACTAAACTATCCGTAACTATCCCCAAGAATACACAGCCCTGCCACGCGTTAAGTGAGAAGGCAGGGAGGCACAGCAGGAACACAGCGAGGCTCTCCAGGTACCCCGACCTGCAGGTGAGCCAAGGCATCCGCTACTCGGACACGCCAGGAAACACATCCATGGGCTGGACGAACAGATCCAGACCCCGCACGCTAATGGGAACACGCTGCAAGTGAAAAGCCCCGCACACCCCCCCCCATCCCCTCGCCCGGGGCTATGGGTGCCGCGGGCAGTGAACAATCGCCGGGAGGGCCTGGCCGCACCTGGAGCGGCCGCGGGCCGGCCCAGGGCACAAAGGGGCGGCTCGGCTGCCCCGGCCCGGCCCGGCCCGGCCGAAGCGGGGGCACCGCCCGGGGGTCGCGGCCCGCCTGAGGGGCACGGGCAGGGCCCGGCCCTCGGCCCGGGCACGGGCACGGGCGGGCGGCGATGGCGCAGCTCCCCAAGCACAGCCCCCCTCACGGAGCTCCCCCCTGCCGCGGGGCCGCGGGGCCGGGCACCGCACGGCGGGGCGAGGGGAGCGCGGGATCCCCCTGAGCGGCGGGGAGGGCGCGGAGCGGGGCTTTCCTTTCCTCTCCTCTCCTTTCCTCTCCTCCCCGCTCCCCTCCCCTCCCCCGCCAGCCGCGGCTCCATCTTGCCCTCCCGCCGCCTCCCCACGGCGCGGAGCAGGGTCCGGGGCGCGCGGGCCCGGCCCGCACCTACCTGCGGGTGCTCGGGGCGGCGGCGGCGGGGCGGGCGGGAGCGCGGCCGCCTCCCCACACCGCGCCGGGCGCTGCAGGGAGGGGGCGGCGGGCCGGGCCGGGCGCGGCGCTGCGGCGGCGGGCGCGGGCGGCGGCGCGGGCGGGGCGCGCTCCCGGGGCGGGGCCGCGCCGCGGGGGCGCGCGCGGGGCGGGGCCGGCGCGGCCCCTCCCTCCGCCCGGCGCTGAGGGCCGCGCGCCCGCCGCCATTTTGTGGGGCGGGCGGGAGGAGGCGAGGCCGAGTTCGGACGGGCACGTCCTGTGCGCTTTAAACATTGCAAATAACTAAGCACGCGAAACGTGGGTGCGGTATCCCCTGTGCTTCCATTGCTGTCCTTTGGATAGGGGAGCGCGGTGTCTCCTGTCCCAGAAGTACGCACAGAGTCAATCAGAGCCAATCTAATCGATCAGATTCGATGTAAGCAATCAATCTAATCAATCTGAGATCATCGAGTCCAACCCATGACCCAACACCACCATGTCAACTACACCATGGCACAGAGTGCCACATCCAGTCTTTCCTCAGACACCTGGGACGGTGGTTCCACCACACACACAGTCCATTAGGGAATGGTTCAGCTTTAGGACTACTAGATTATTTTATCAGGTCAGTTCTCTTTCCTTGCTGCACCCATTCCCAACACAGCCCACATAGGGTTGGGTCTGTGCACGGCCCATCAGCCCCCGGCATCTTATAGCGTGGGACATGAAATATTTCTTATTTTCCTTATTAAACATTTTGCTCCGTTTCCCCCATGTTCTGAAGAGTTCGGTATTGCAACAGCACTTCACTATAAACCAGGCTTCATACCTTCAGGTGGGAACAGCAGCTTCAACTGTTTCCAAAGAGATCCCATAGAAACAGGAATTTTAAGTGCCCAACAGGTAACCTTCTGTTCCCAAGGTCAAGTTTTCGTGAAACAATGTGACAGCCCGCTTGGTGGAGGGCTGTGACCAACATATTTTTTATCCTTACGCTTTCCTGCCCTCTGTTAGCACCTTGAACCATTGACAGACAGCAACAACACATCTGCAAACCTCAGGGTCTAAATGAACAGATCAGTCCTTAAATGACCGACGTACGGGGGAGCCCGAAAGATGCTCTGTGCTATTCAGATGAGGTTTTAGAAAATAAAAGGGAAAAAAAAAAGTTCAGGAAAGAAAAAGAACCTGCAGCTTTTACAAATGGCTAATTCTTTTTTTAAAAGTATTTTCCTCTCCTGCTGTTGTTGGGCAGCTGACTACTGTATTCCAACACTGTGATGTTCCATTTCTACAGTACTTGTGAGTTATTCAGGCCGAAAATTGCTGTGAAACACCCTGCCAAGATGATGTTTCATATTTTTGCCAGCGCTTCCTAACGCATGCAGGAATCCTCACTTGCAGTATAAGAAAGCAGCAGGGAAAAGCAGCATTTATTTAGCTTAATTTAGCAAATGATTCCGTTTATTTACAAAGCTCATCTTTGTGCTGTTTTAACTCCTGTTGGAAATGCTGCTGCCAAGGAAGAACGGTTCAGTTCAATACCTTTTTGGTATCCTTGCTAACTCACACAGGCAGAGGAAACGTAGGTTCTAAGGAAAATCCTTAATCTTAACTTTCAGCGTAACATTTTCCTTGCTCAGCAGTTTATTTCAGAGCAGTTGCCCCGTGGTATTTATTGCTCCAAGAAACGTTTGTGATGATGAACTTTGTACTTAGAATGGCCAAAGTATAAAATAACTTAATCATATGCTCCCTCCACGGTAGGTGATTAATAATTTCGTAGCTCACTAGAACAACTTAGTTCTGAGATGTTAATTAATTTACCTCTGCTTATGTTGGTCAGCTTGACAATTTTGTATCTCTCAGTTTGACTAAAGAAAAATATTTAAATCTGTTTCAGATGAGAAGTCTCAGAGAAGCAATGTTTGGGTGGCAATCACTCAGGCTAATGGTCATTTATTTAAAAACAATTGTTTCCACTGTAGCTAAAACTATGAAAAACAAATCTTCCTGCCTAGCACTGTATAAACATCGTACAAAATGTACATTTTGGGACAAATTCGAGTCCAGCTGTGCCCCTTTTATCTTCGCATTTTTAGGCTGCTCTCCGCCTCCACTCCTCCATACGGCACAGGGAGCTGGAAGCCAGGATTTATTCTGCAAACGCCCGAGCTCTAAGAACACAAACTTGTTTAAGCTGAGACCATATTTGGAAGAGATCTGGGTCAAGAAAAATAATCAAAGGAAAGTGCATTCCTGGGGCATCACGTGGGGAGGCAGAACGCGCTCAGGGCCCGGCGCTCACGGTCGGGGGAGCGGAGGGGCCGCGCACGACCCTCCCGGGAACCTGCGGGCAAGCACTGGTCTGACACCACCTTCACCCCGGGAACCACCTCCCCAGGGAACTCAGGTTCTGGTAAATGTGGGGTTCAATAAACACTGACAGTGTTACGTCCAAGGCAGGAAGTTAAAAACTAACTCTGGCAAGTGTCCATCCTCACAGACACAGGTACCTGTCTCGAGCCCTGTCAATGGTTTTGCTGAAGTAACCGCCCTTCCTTACAACTGTACACAAGCCTGAAGGACTGAAATACCAAAGTGCTCCCTCGACTCCAGCATTCTCTTCCTTATTTTAGGAAGATCTCAAATCCAGCCTTTGGTGTTTATTTTATATTCGGCTGTTACAATTGCAGAGTTTCAGCAAAACTTTGCTTAAAAAAAAAATCTTTTTTTTTTCCTGTCTTCCACTTGGAAGACTTGAGGAAGAAAAGCTCCTAAAGATGGCACTTTGAGCCTCTGAGTCCTTTATTTAATTAGTAGCCAAATGCATGTTTAAATAGATTGCACTGCTTCAATTGTACAAGTAAAATCTCCGACAGCCAGCACGGGGAAAGCTGCGGAACATGCCCAGCTTGTGCTCTACGCTCATTACAAACTCGTTACAGCTTTTTCAGCATCAAACCTAACAGCAAAGTAGGCCTTGAGCTGCCTTTTTAATGAAACAAAGGGTGGCAACAACGTACCAGATAGTTCAGGGAGTATAAAATTCTCAGTTGCCATTGCACGCACTTTTTATCTTGCTGTGGATTTTTTCCCCCACGCAAAACACTGGATTTAGTCTCTCCTGTTTTCCTGGCTAGGGAATTAACCCTTCACAGTGTGGTGGGGATTACTGCTGTGGGCATCCCTGGTGGGCCACTTGCAGGGAGGATGAAGGAGCCAGCCAGGCTGTGATCAGGGGCTCGCTCTCCCTCCTGCTGCACGACGTGACATGCAACCAGGAGCTCATTCAGGATCCAGCACCAAACACCTGCATCACCTATCCACCCAAAACACCACTATTTCCTCACACACTGAAAGCATAAAGCACCCTTGAAAGCTGGCAGAGGATCACCTGGGGCAGGTGACAGAACAAGCTCTGCTTCTGTGTATTTGAAAAGTAAAAAAAAACCAACAAATACGGCAGCCCTGCGCTCTTCTGAACAACTGGCAACAGGAACCCAACCAGGGCAGATTCCCTGGAGAGCTGCCAAACTGGGATGTTTACAAAGATCTTGTCTATATCCATGGGCACATTTGGGAAGAACTAAATATAGCGTTTTTCACCACTTCATTGCATCTCCTCCAAACTTCTATTCTAAGCTTGTTTCCACTATTTTTTCCCCTGTGTGTTTGTTAATTTGAGAGTTTCTTTTCCTCTGGTTTATATGCATTTTGCTCCTGCTTTCATGTACCCAAAGACCTTCACTGTCACTTTCTTAACTGAGTGTGAGCTTTGTCCCCTTTCCAGCAGAAAAACAAAAGCACAAACTGCTGTTCACATCACCCTACTCCAAACAGTCTGAGTTTAACTGTCAGAGGAAAAAACACACAAGCAGTGCAAGTGCAGAAAACAGAGGAGCTATTCAGAAAGACAGTTTCTGAAAAATATACATTGAAATTATTTTTTTTTATTTTCACTGGAATTTAAAAAACATAAGAATATTGACATTGCATTTAAAAACCCCAGGAAGTTAAAGATTATACATTGCTGCATCTCTGAAATCCAACAAAAATGTCTTCACCCTGCCTTTTTTAGGAGATACCAATATACGTAGGAACATTTTTAAACAAGATTTTTTAAAGACGTGTCAGGCTGTCCAAACTTGCATGTGCTCTTCATTAAATACACCAAAATCTGTCGCTCTTCTCGCAAGGGACACTGTCTAGAAGTTAGACAATTCCAAAAACAAGTAGTATGAAACACATCAAATCCCAGTTCTTAAGGGAAGGAAACCTGATGTATTTAAAGGGCATCACAGGCCTTTAGTCTGAGCTTTCTCTTCTGAGTTTTGAGAAGTGTTACTGTGTGTGCTGCTCCTCTCGCCCTACTCCATCTACTAATATTGGCAAGCACTGCATTAGGGGTGTTCTCACCCTAAATGCAGACTGTAAAGCTGGTGTAATCATTCCTTTCCTTTCCTACATTGCAAATAAGGGGCACTGACAGGGTAAGCAGGCAGAAAGAGTCCCTTGAATTACCTGCAGTTTGGAAAGAGGAGCTGTGAATTTACCCAGATGGTGTGATTTGTCTTCGCCGGGGTTAAAGCAGTATATACACAGCTGGTTTAAAACGACACATTTCTTCTCCATGTGTCGGTTCAGAAAAGCTTTCTACACAAGTCCTTTCCAAAGTCATCATCTTGAAAGTCTTGGCAGCTGCTAGAATGAGACAACTCAAATTGCTACTGTTTCTGCTCCAGACAAGCACTGTCCGTCAGGAATTCTAATGCTTATGGGGAGGAGACCTCACGGAACAAGGTCCTGCCTGGCCCAGCAGCTTATTGACTGCAAGGAGAGTGAATAGCTGTGGAATTCATTCATAAATACCATTATTCATTTTTACCTAAAGCCACATCCTAACAGCAATAAAGATGACAATCCCAGGGGAATAATCACGTTAAATGTATATATAAGAACACTATAAAAGAGCGACAAAGTTGTATTTCGTTAAAAAAAGAGGTTTCTCTCTTTTTCCTGCAAATTCCTTTTTAAACTAAATCAGGCTTTCATTCTTATG